ACAGCAAGCCCAGGAACCTTGGTTTGCTTTGGCCCTGGAACTCCTGCGCTGAGCACAGCCCCTGCCAAGGCGACACCCATGTCTGTGGAGCGACATGTGGGTGCACGAGCACGTCTCCCCCTCCCCGCCCCGGACCCACTCCCACCCAGGGGGAGCAGGGCCCGGTGCTGACCGGTCCTCACCCCCTCCCTGGTGCTGCGGCTCATGCTCCCGCCTGTGGCGTCAAACACGCTGCGCTGAAATAAATTCCGGTTCCCCAAAGCTAGCTGGCGTGGCGTCTGATGCTGAGCCGCGGTCCTGGAGCAGCTCCTGGACGTCACCTTGGAGCCGACTTTGCAGGGCAGAGGCCGCCGCCCTGTCCCTGCGCCCAGGCGGGGCCCACAGGGCAGGGAGCCGCCAGGCCAGCGCCTCCCCCTGCGCCTGGGGCCTCCAGTGCTGCTTTCTGGACCAGGGCAAGTGTGGGTCAGGTTTCTCCTGGGCTCCAGGAAGGAGGAAGGACAGAGTCCAGGGCTCGGTTGTGCAACTGGCCCAGGGAGTCCTTCCCTGAGGCTTTGTGTGAAAGGGTGGAAGGAGTGAGGAGTGGGGGGCACTGGGCCCTTTAGTTCCAGCCTCCCATGCAGTCAGCACTTTCCCGCGCAAGGTCCTGGCTGGCGCTCTGTACAGACACAGCTGGGGGACACACCGGGCTGGCTCGGGCCACAGCGATGAAAGGAATCGTGCAATAAAGCAAATTACACATTCCTTTTGGTTTTTAAAATTTATGCTTGTGCTTTAATGCAAATGCTCTAATTGTGTGTGCCAGGGCACTCATCTAAAATTAATACATGCATCTTTATTAAAGATACCTTTTTTGGCTAAAGCATCCTGGCATTACGTGAGCCTTCAGCTAGGTTCACTGTCGTTGCTGGTGGAGGGTCTTGCCTTGGTCCCAAGTCTGCCAACAGGTCTGAGGTGGCAGAAAAAACGGCGGCTATGGCTGTTTTCATAAAAGAAGACCGCAGTGAGGTTTCCACACCGTAACTCTCACTTTCACAAAAGATTTCTCTGCAGGATGTTATGCCATTTGGCACCATTTCATCCTGGGAGGATATTCGTTGAACACCAAAATCAATCTGAAAGATGCTTCTATTGCTTTCCCAGTCCCCTAGACTGTCATCCACCAGAGTTCAAAACACCTGATCCTCAAAACATGCCATTGAACATCTCAGCAGACAGCTAAGGAATCGTGTGTGAACGGAAGAGGAAATGTGGAAAGTGTCATCGTCGTCTCTTTTTTTTTTTGCGCAGAATAACTGAGATGTCGGCCAGAGGTGTGGGGGGTGAGAGGCTTCACCAGAAACAGAACAGGTGGATCTGCTGAAATACACTGCTGAGGGGAGCAGTGGGGATACAGGCGACGTCTGTTGCGCCATGTGGGTCACTCCCTGGCCAGGGGGTGATGTCAGGCCACAGGGGTGACACAGGGGAGACCTAACCCCTCGGCCATTGTATCTTGAGACATATCACAGTGCTCCCAGCCTGCCCTGTGCCCACTCCCATGAACCAGCAGCCATCAGTCCTGGGCACAAGACCCTCCCCTAGCAAAACATACTCCTCACAGAGGGCTCAGGAGATGGTAGAATCTTTCAGGAGTAAAGCATTTATATATATATATATATATATATAATAGCTTATTTTTACATCATTTTGTGCCTTTTTCCATCTCAGTTGCAATCCCCTTGGGCTTCCCATCACCAAATCACCATGTGTCATCACCATAGTCCAGTGCATTTCCCTTCCCCCCACCCCCGTTTTTGATCCCATTCCCCACTCCACCCCTACAAAATGTCTCTGGTGTATAGCTGTTCATTATTATTTTCTCGCCTGGTCCGTTAGACACATGCTAGAACATACACACTGGACCACATGAGCATGTACACATCAATTTTACATGCATTTGGATCACACCAAATGATTGTAATTTGCATTTTGCTTTATTGAAACGGGTCTTTCAGGGTAGTAATCTGAAGCTGAGGTCTCAATGCCACACTTGTGCCTGTCTGTACAAAATGCTAAGCCCGGGTCCAGCCCATGTAAAACGCTCACCTCATGGGTGGCTGCTGTTGGCATTGAAATGGCCAGTCTCCCACTTACCCACCCCCCCACACACACAGCATGGGCGTTCCTTGGGCCAGAGCACAGCTGACCTTCACCTTCCATCCTTCTCCTTCAGACAACCTGCTGCAATGTTTGACCTGGCCCAAGAAGTAAAAAACGAAACTTCTAAGGCTGGAGTGTCACCCAAGTTTCTGTGCAGCTTGGGGTGGTCATGAAGAGGTTGGTGGCTGGGCGGTGAGTTTGCCAAGCCCTGGGCAGGGCACAGGCTGCAGGCAGGGAAAGGGGAGGTGTGTGCTGCCCTGCAAAATTCCACGAAGTCCTCCACGCTTATGAACGGGGCCTTCTGTTGCATGCGAGCCTGTCATTCAAGTCCCAGCTGCAAGCCACAGAATCTACCGTCTAGCTTAATTGGAACATAAATTTGTTTAGACACAGAGCAGCAGAGTTTGAACCCACAGGGAGGGAGAGGTGAGGCATCACTGAGGGAAAGCAGTGGAACTACCCCTGATGCCAGAAACTTCACTGCTGCCGCCCCCCCCCAAGAAACCAGGGGAGTGGGGTGGGGTGAAGGTGAGGACTGGTGAAGGTGCAGGTCAGGACTGGAGTCTGGGCTTCAAACGTCTAGCCTGAGATTCAGACCAGTGGAGAGACGTGCTCACTCATTCACTCATTCATTCTGGAAATCTTGATGGAGGCCTTCCCTCTGCCAGGAGCTGTGCCCGGCACCGGACAAAGTGGTGGAAATAAACAAATCACATGACTCTTGCTCGGCGGAGCTTAGAGTCCACTGGAACAGACAGTGCAGACACAAGCATGAACCTGGGGAGGAAGACAGAGGCAGGCGGGGTGGGGAGCAGCCACGGCTCTGTGTGGGCCTGCCGGACGTCGGCCATCAGGGCAACGCGGACTCCCAGCTCTCTGCAATGAGAAGGGAAACTGTTAGAAAGGAAATTGGTGGTTGTCATCGTCGAGTCCCCGACCAGACACTTAAGACCGCCCCGTGGTCCTCTCCCTGACCAGGATGACAACGAGAAGGCCAGTAGTGCTTGGCCAGCCCGGGTGGGGTGGCTCTGGGGTGGGCCGAGACACCGGCAGGGCCCCCCCTCGATGCTCCCGTCTGCAGCGGGGACCAGGCGAGATGGTTCAGATGACCTTGCGGTCACACCTGGCCATGGCTTTCTGCCCAGATGGCCTAGTGCGTGCAGTCTGGGCTTTCCCAGGACTCTGCTGCTCCCTCCTCCTGGGAGAGCAGTGAGGAGAGACACGGTGCCCCCCCCCCCCGCCCGGGCAGGGCTGTGGGGTCCTCCGAGCTTATTGCTGCCCCCAGCCTGCCCCTCCCCCTCAGCTGACCTGGCTCCATCTCGGGCGCCTCGGTTTCTCCTGCAGGTTCTGGCTCTATGCCGCTGCAGAGGCTCAAGCACTGTTCCTTCTCCAGAAAGTGATTCCGCTTTGCTTTGCAGCCTCCATACACAAAGGGTTCGCAGAGCCCAGACTTGGAGTTGAAGAACCATCTCATCTTGCGGGCCTTGCAGGGACCCTTGTAGGGAGGATCCCAGCAGAAGGCCGGATAGGCTGTCGGGACACAGAAGTTTCTGGTCAGTGATGAGCACAGTCCTCAGCAGCTGTTCTACGAGTGAAAACTGAAACAAGCAGCGTGTCTGGCATTCGGGGTCATGGCGGAGAGGGGGTGCTGTGAGAGACCTCAGCTTGACGTACGGCCTTCTGGGCACCACTGCTACTTATATAGGCTGTGACGATAACATGGGCTAATGTAAGAAATAGCGTTTCCTTAAAGAAGTGCTTGTGCGTTGGTTGGCATCATGCTGTAGACTGATTTCCAAAAAGTCCAGGAAAAAATGGAAAACACAGAGTCTCCTGTCTCTGCTGATGATTGTAGAAGCTGGGAAACATGGATTGTGGGTCGAGGGTTGGGCCGCTCCATCCACTCTCCGGGAGGAGAGGGGCCAACTCAGACACTCGTGGCCGTTATCTATCTAATCGGTGTCCCCATGCATTTTGTCACCCCCTAAAGACTGGGGTTTGGAGACAGTTGGTCAGCATGGATACTTGGGATTCCAACCTCCGAGGAGCAGTGATGTTTCCCGACCCCTCCCTGTAAGTTGCCCTGTGCATTGTTTCCATATGCTTGTTCCTGCCTTATATATCTGATAGTAAAAGTATTCTGGCCCTCCCTGGTGGCGCAGCGGGTTACAGCACAGCACTGAGAATCTAAAGCCACTTCCGCATGAGTTCGATTCCCGCCTGCCCTGGAGATGACCACATGGCATGGCAGACCTCTCCTGACCCACCCGCTGCTCCCCTCAGCAGTGTGCTTCGTTGATCTGCCTGCTCAGCTCCCCACTCTGTCTCTGGTGAAGACTCTCACTGCTCCTGCACCTCTGGCCTGTACCCCAGCTCTGTATGCATCAATCAATAAATTTTTAAATAAAAAAGCTGCTCAGTGGAACCCAGGCAATGGGTTCCACTGGTTATAGAACACCTGCTCTATGACCAGCCAGCCTGGGGGACAGCCTCAGTGTCTGCAAAGACCTGGAGGTAGGCGTGGTGGTTCTGGAAGCAACAGAATCCTGGAGGGAAAGCCTTAGATGCATCTTTCTATCTTTTCAGTCTTTAACAGTGAGTGTGTTTTAAACAATGACCTTTGGTCATTGAAGAATAAATGATAGTGAAGGAGAGAAAAATCAACTTTCCTCCACTCTTCTACCCCTGTAGTAAAGGACAAATTGACAGGGGGGAAACAAATTTAATTTTGTACCTACAGGAGCCAGAGACCTGAGGCTCAAAGGCAAGTGTAAAATGGAGGTTTCTGTGCCATCCTGACCTAAGGAATGGGGGTGAAGAGGGGGGTCTTGGGCTTCATGGGGAGGAGGGCGGCTCCCAGGATGATGTCTGGTGAAGGGTGCCTGCTCGGCCCTGCAGATGGGCCATCTGATAGAAGGTTGTGTCTTTGAGGTGCTCGCTTTCCAGACCAGTGGTGATTCAGGCTGTCTTACCCCCAGGCAGGGCTAGGACTCTGGCCGTGCTGGACAGGTAGTCCAGGACCCTGCCTCCAGGGGAGACTGGGTGAGGCCTAGCAGGAGAGTGCACTGAGCCTGACCTTGGGGTTACCTGGCAACTGGGTGTGGCTGTGACTGTGGTGGTCTCCACCCACCCTCCAGCGCACCCATGTGTTTGGGGGAGCACAGCCCGTAGACAAAGCAGCCCCTGCTCTTGCTGTGTCTGCACAGGAAAGGCAGCCTGGGTACCATGCCTGCGCGTCTCAGCAAGAAATAGTCTCGTCACTGTCTCACCCTCATTTCCCCCTCCTGTTTGACTATGTATCATAAATACATGTCACTGCAAGGGGCAACCACTGGCATTGGTTTTCTTTTCAATTCGTGTCATATTCTGAGATTATATTTCTTTTGTTTCATTAAAAAATATGTTATCGGCCCTCCCTGGTGGCGCAGCGGGTTAAAGCACAGCACTGAGAATTTAAAGCCGCTTCCGCATGAGTTCGATTCCCGCCTGCCCCGGAGGTGACCACATGGCGTGGCAGACCTCTCCTGACCCGCCCGCTGCTCCCCTCAGCAGTGTACTTCATTGATCCGCCTGTTCTGCTCCCCACTCTGTCTCTGGTGAATCCTCTCACCCTCCGCATCTCTGGCCTGTACCCCAGTTCTGTATGAATAAATAAATAAATCTTTAAAAAAAAAAATATGTTATCTAGGCCCTCCCTGGTGGTGCAGCAGGTTAAAGCACAGCACTGAAAATGTAAAGCCGCTTCCGCATGAGTTTGATTCCCGCCTGCCCCGGAGGTGACCACATGGCGTGGCAGACCTCTCCTGACCCGCCCGCTGCTCCTCTCAGCAGTGTACTTCGTCCATCTGCCTGTTCTGCTCCCCACTCTGTCTCAGGTGAAGCCTCTCACCGCCCCTGAGACTCTGGCCTGTACCCCGGTTCTGTATGTGCAAATAAATAAATCTTAAAAAAATAAAATATGTTATCTAGCCGTATTTTAAGTCTGTTCCCCCTGCCAGACCCTCCATCTAAATTCTTTAGTTCTTTAAATTCTTTAAATTTCTTCAGTTGCTGTTGTCTTCAGGAATAATCCTAGTCATCTGCATAACACAGGGGCATATTTGGGGCACCTGTTCTGAATCTCTTGAAACAAAAACTCAGTAACAGCCAAATGGAAGAGATACCGGGGTGAGGAGAGGGCACCTTCACTGTACCTCAGGGAACTCTCTGAACCCTCGTGTACGGGTTTTATTGAGGTCTCCTTACACACGAGTCATTGAGGAACTCACTGGCCATTGTGTTGAACTCAATCTTGGCTCCCTGCTCTCTGACCCAGGCGGGAGAAAGTTTGGAAGTTTAACTCCAGCCAGCTGGGACCCCTGCTGATGCCATCTAGGGACCCCTGCCTGGGATGATCTTTTCAGACAAGGAAAAAGAAGATTCTAGAACTTTTGGGGCCTAGTCTAGGAACTTGAACAAAGCCCAACTATTCCTCTTTTGTTACGTCAGAGTGAGTTCAGGAAAGAGGCAGGAACCACAGAGCCCCAGAGGTGGGGTCCAGGACCGGATAGAGTTGTCTGTAAACAGAATAGTTTTTGAAAGCTGGGCCTAGTGACTGAACTTTTAGAGTCATGAAAAGCCCCCAGCTTAACATTTTCTGACTTCCTAGCAGAACTACACAGAGAGAGATGGGGGTTCCCCAACACTGCTGTTTCCCAGCAGGTCCCCCAGACTTGCCTCACCTCCACCCTAGCCTGCAGAGGAGAGCCCAGCCGGGACTTACCATAGGCTCTGTCCCACTGAGTGACAGTCACCAGGCAGGCCAGAAGGACAAGAAGCCCTGAGGTGAGGCAAAGGCAGCTCATGTTCCCTGCCTGGACGCTGTTCCTGAGGAGACCTGGGGGACAGCTTTTCAAGTGCCCAGAGCAGGGTGGGGACAGAGGCCCTGAGGAGGGGCCTGCGGAAGGGGAGGAGCTGAGGCCTGTGCTGGGCTTGGCTTCATCTCCCACCTCTGGCCTGCTGTATCTGCTCAGGGCCACAAGGCTCAGCCACAGCCTTTCTCCAAGTTCATTATTCCTGCGAATTTCCTGGGAATCTTGTTGAAGTGCGGGTTCTGATTCAGCAGGTGGAACCTGAGAAACCGCCCTTCTCATTGCCCAGTTATGGCTTTGTCCCCAGCCAGAGAGCTTGTGCCTTGTTTGTCCGGTAGACTTTTACAGATTAATACTTTTACAGAGCAATATAACTTAAATAAAACAATAAGCTCAATACCCAAAAATTAAATAGTAAACTAGTGAACAGGCACATCTCCTAGGCTGTGGAGACCCCACCTGGATGGAGCCCCGAGAATCACATGGAGGAAGCTGGGGGGAGAGGGGGTGGTCTCAAGGGGCCTGATGTCCAGTCATTTGTTTTACAGACAGAAGAACTTAGGTCCAAGCAGCCATTTACTGGTCCAGGATCACAAGGTCTTCTAGATGAAACTGGGGGCTGACATCTGGGTGTTGCTGAAGACGGCCTTAGACGCTTGCTCACTAAGCCCCCAAATCCTCTCCAAGGTGAGAAGCCTGATTCTCTAGGGCCACAGCCCTGGTCAAGGGTGAGTCTACTTCCAACTATTACAAAGAACCTCAACCCAAACCAGGGCCCCATCTTCAGGGGTGACATGCCCCAGCCCCCCAGCCCCCCTTCCAAACACCCAACCTCTGATGGTGAAGTCAGCCACTTTCTTGCCCTCTGCTGGGTGGGCCTGGCCAGGAAAGTGGAACATTCAGAAAGACGCTCTGTGAGACCCAAACGCTATTGGTGGGGGGTGCGGGTTGTGGGGCGTGGGGTGAGGGGCTGGCTGACTCCTGCTGGCCACCAGTATGTCCACCTCGGGCGGCACCAGGGAGGTGTGGCAGGTCTCTCACGTGTCGCCATCTAATTTGGGCTCAAACGCCCTGGTGACCATCTAACTTAATCAAACCTTGCCCAATCTTAGTTCTACTAAAAAAATTACTTGTTTTGTTTTTAAAAGCTATGCACACATGTGCAGTTAAAAGGTGTGTCTGTTTTTACTCTGCAGCCACTGTAATGCGATCAGTCCCCTGCCAGGGAGTGACCCACATGGCACAGCTGACTTCTCCTGTATTCCTGCTGCTCCCCTCAGCAGTGTATTTCAGTAGGGCCCCCTGTTCTGCTCCCCACTCTGTCTCTGGTGAATCCTCTCACCCTACACTTCTGTCTTATACCCCTGTTCTTGGATGCATAAATAAAACAAATGTTCATAAAAAAAATCAAAATGGTGGTTTTTGCATTCCATGAGAATCTTTCATGGGCGCAGTTTCCCTGGGTTGAGTGTTCCAGGTGTATTGAGGGTGTGTGTGTGTGTGTGTGTGTATATATATATATATGAATCACCTTGTGTGGTAACAAGAACCAGGTGTAAACGGAGTTCAGATAACGTGACCCAGTAAAAGAGATCATTGTTTTTCTTTGCTGATTACCATAGCTATCTAAGATTGTTTAATGGAAACATTTATTCCTACTCATAAATATGATCACTGTTTATTGCCATTCAAACAATACTAAAAAAATTCTGTAAACTAAAAATCACTTGAAATTCCACCAGAGAAAGCAACTCTGAGTCTAATAGTGAAGAGCGTTCAAGTCTTCACTCAGTAAGAGTAAGCTGACACGTACATTCTGCATCAGAAGGACATGCCAGCACTCCCATTTCGTGCGTTAGTTTATTTATCATAACTCCTGGACCGCTCTCCACGCGGATGTCCTGCTAACTGTGTCGTAGCCCAGCCATTCTGTTTGTGAACATTTACCTGTTCTCCAGCCCCAGTCTTTTGCAATTATAATCAAGGCACCAACACACACCTTGATGTTTGGAGAGGCGATAGGTCCAGAGCTTGGGCCCTGGAGTCCTTGTGCAGGTCAGAACCCCAGGCCGAAGGCTTTGTGATTGGTGGAGAATTATGCAGCCTCTCTGCGCCTCAGCTTTTCATTTGCGAAGTGAGCTTGGTAACGCCCTCTTCACTAAGGTGTGTAAATGATGCAGCCTGCGAGCACCTGGCACATAAGAGGTTCTTTGGGGGAAAATATTTACCACTTCGTAAAAAGGATTTATGTATGACAATCCTTTTTACGAGGATGCCAACCTGGGGCAGAGCCTCCAGGCGATGCCACAGATTCCTCTGTCCTGGGCCCTCTCCTCCCCGTGTGGACCCTTGCATGGAGACTCTTTCTGCCCAAACGTCTGCAGCAACGCGTGCACAAGTGTGAGCCTTGTAACCACAATGGTGGTCAGTGCAGTGCTCACAATTCTGGGACCCCAGGGATCTGCTTGAGGGCCTGCCTGCCACCTCACGGTCGTCTTATAGCAACAGGAACAGTAATGGCGGCAATAGGATGATTGACATGTGAAGAAGAGGATGTTGGATGTGAGCTGATGAATGAGCGAACGAACAAATGAAAGGCTGTGTGAGCTCAGTGCAGGTAGGATGAGGGCAGGAGTGGGGTGACTGGGAAAGGCTTTGTGGAAGGAGACTCAGGGGCAAATGGCATCAGGAGGCGGTAAAGCAAAGAGCGGAGGTGGGGGGTCTGGAGATGCAAAGCCTTAGGCCCTTTCTCTGTGTTCCTGACACTCCGGGCTGGGCCTCCGGGCCTCCGGCAGTCCCCGCCTCTCCATCCAGCTCTCAGCTCTCAGGTATTCACACCCTTCCCACCCTCCTGCTGCAGGGCGAAGGCTCAAGCCTGACCACCCTCAGGTCCCAGTGCTCAGATTTAGGGAACCCCAAGTCTCCTCTCTGAGCTTCCTCGGAACACCTGGCGCGGGGCCTCCTAGCTCTGTGTGTGTGGCTGGTGCCAAGCCTGCTGAGCCTTGTGCCTGTTGAGGGGATGAGATTTGGGCACCATTATGGCAGGTTAGTGCAGTGGCACCGCTAACCTCTACAGCACAGTTTCCTCCAAATATTAAACACAGATCTACTGTACGATCCAGCAGTTCGACTCTTCAGTAAGAGTCAAAGTAAGTAAGCAGTAAGGAAGTAAGGAAGGAAGCAGCACGCTAATTCAAAGAAGATGGGGTTGGGTTTGGGGCTTGGTTTCTCTTCTGTTCCCTATGGCATCAGAAATGCTGGTTGAGCTATTTACAGTAGCTTAATGGGAACAGCAGATATCAGCATTCTGCAAAACCGTGACCCAGTGTTTCTCAGCTCCGGGCTGACCACTCTTCTAGATCAACAGCCAACCCTCTTGTTAAGAACAGACTGTGTGCTTGGCGATTATCATGCACTAGCTGTTCACATTAAATATGAAAACTGAGGTCCAAAGGAGAGGGCTTAGGATTTCCTAAGACACAATGTTCCACAGCAAAGTTGGGCTTTGAACCAGATACAGAGCTTCTTGCTTGCTATGGGCACATTGTTAGTTCCTCTTGGTCAGGACCGTGGAGTGTGGCCCGCAGGGCGAGGCCCTCCCTATTCCTGAGCAGGTAATGGACAATGGAGAAGCTCCAGAGGTCGGAACTCTGGTACTGATGGGAGCAATTTTGCAGAGATGACCCTCCACAGCTCTGCCAGGCAGCTGTTGTCCGTGATCTTAGCATCCACTGATGCCTGCATTTCAGTTGCCTCAACTTCTACTTTTACCTCAGAACAGTGCCTGCAATAGAAATTTCCAGTCTCTTCCTTTGTGGAAGGGATATATGGGGTCCTTTCAATACAATCTCTTCAGCTCACTCATTTTGCAGTTAATAGAACCATTAACAGTAACAGAATTATTAACTAGAATTATTAACTATAATAGGATTGTTTCCCAGAGGTGGGAAATAACTTGCCCAATTTTATTAGTGAACCAGAGATGGTAGCTGTAGACAGAATGATTTTTGCACTTCTGGCTTTCTTCTTTCATGGTGCTTTGAGCTGGGGATAGTCAGAGAAGGCTTGGTGGTGGATTGGAGGAAAGGATGAGGGGTGGGGGGTGCCAAGAAAAACTCTCGGGTCTCAGCACGTGTCCCCGTGTTCTCAGGAGCCACTGGGGCCTGCACAGGGTAACCACAGCCTCTCAGGTCAGCGGGAGAATTTTCAGCCTCGTCAGTGATAGGGCCGAGTGACCCCAGGACTGCTGTCCTTCAGACTCAGTGACCCTCAAGGCTGCTGTCCTTGAAACTCAGTGATACAAACTTCCCACTTTGTCAGTAGAGGTTCCACCAAATTTTCTGGGGTGAGGAGAGAACTCGGGGCGTCACCACTGACCATCAATGCTCTGTCATATCCCCTAATATGTCACATGACACTGAGTCATGTGAATATCTGTGCTCATTTACTTGGGGGGGGGGCTGGAAATATAATCCTTTGGGCACAGCTGACGTAGTTTGCTTTTATATGAGAACGCAGCAAGGGAACAGATTCTGATGGAAAGGGTCTAGTTTCAGATCCTTAAGGTTATATAGACATTTAGAAAACTAAAAACAAAATGTTGTAAGATGTATATATGTTACAGTCAAGTGTTTTCTCTGTACCCAAGGTGATCACCGTATACATTTGTGCCTTATGATGGCAGTAACATTGATATTTCTCTAGTGTGAGACATACCTTAGAATATATCTCACTTGGTCTTTTTTTTTTTAAAGATTTATTTATTCATATAAAACTGGGGTACAGGCCAGTGATGCGGAGGGTGAGAGGATTCACAGAGTGGGGAGCAGAACAGGCAGATCGACGAAGTACACTGCTGAGGGAAAGAGTAGGCAGTCAGGAGAGGTCTGCCACGCCATGTGGTCACCTCCGGGGCAGGCGGGAATCGAACTCATGCGGAAGTGGCGTTAGCTTCTAAGTGCTGTGCTTTAACCCGCTGCGCCACCAGGGAGGGCCTATCTCACTTGGTCCATTTAACATTAACATAATATTGGATTCAATTGGTGAATATGCAGTTTAAGATTTTTGTGCCTATGCTTATGATGCATATGGGATTATAAGTTTTTGGTACTATCTTTCCCAGATTTTAGTATCAGAGTTATCCCAGCCTTGTAAGACAGGTTGGGAAGTTTTTTCTCTCCATTGTCTTAAAACGTTTGTGTTAAATATATAGTAGCTATATATTTGATGATAGAATTTACCCACAAAGTTGCCTGGACTAGCAGTTTTCTTCTGGGTAAGTTTTTAAATTGCAAATTAATTGCTTTAACCTGGGAGTCAATCACTTTTGTGTAAAGAGATAGATAGTGAATATTTTTTGGTTTTATGGGCCCTGAGCTCTTCATCACAATTCCTTGTCTGTACTACTGTGGAACAAAAGCAAGCAGAGACAATGCTTAAACAAAGCGGTGTGCTTATGTCTAACAAACTTTATTTACAGAGTCAAGCCTGGGAACTTAGGTTTCAAAGGTAGGAATCAAAGTGAGTGGTTGTTTTTCATTTGCATTTAATTATGTATTAACTTTTTTTTTTTGGAGATATAGTTCACATGCCCTAATACTTACCTTTTTTAAAGTGAATGTTGTTGTGATTTTTAGGATTTTGCCAAAAGTGTGCAGCCATCACTATTATTTGACTCCAGAACATTGATGGGTAGCAACTTCATCTCTGCTTCACCCCATCCCAGGGCAGTAGATTCTGTAGAGAAGAATTTTCTGAAAGCATCTCCCCTGTGGGAGGGTTCTTACAGAGACTTGTTATCAGACCAAATGAACTTCTGATCCTGTTCTTGGTGTCTTGTGTCATTATTAGATGTGTGTTTAACATATTCTAGTGCTGAGAAGATGATCACTGATTATCTCCTTTATCTAGTAATAAGGAACATTCCACTGATTTGTTTTTGAAGGTTAAACCAACAACACACTTTTTGAAATGACTTCCCTTGTCCATGCTATAGAACCACTTTTACACACAACAAAATTCAGTGGCTTTTGTTTAGGAGTTTGCCCTTTTGTTAAGGCAAGATTTTCTTTTCTTTCTTTCTTTTTTTTTCTTTTTTGCATATACTATCCTTACCATGTTTTGGTGTCATGAAATTTCAGTGAATAGCTTTAAAACAGAAAGACCAAGAGTGGATTGTGGAACTGCCAATAGACATTCTGAGAAAAAAAAATGCAGAAACATTTAGTGAGGGGCATGTTCAACCAACTGAAAATTTGTTCTGAATTTGGACTGGAACTCACGGAGGAAAAGCCGAGGAGAGCTAGAAGAGCAAGCACAGATGCAGTGGGAAAATAAAAACAAAAACAAGAGCCAATGGAGGGCGCTGCAGAAACCAAGGGCTGGATTCCGGGAGCAACTTCCGCTGCATCTCTGCCCCCGCCCCTCTACCTTTCCCGATCCCCCACCCCCTGCTCAGGGGCATTTCTCCTGCCAGCATCCTGGAATGTTTCTCACTTTGTGTAAAACAGCAACGTTCTTGGCCACCAAGCAAGCAGAACCAGTACACACTTTGCAGGAGCACAGACAGCTGTCCTCAGTTAGACGTCTGACCTCAACCAGGGACTTTGAGTCTGCAGACATTAATTAAAGACAGGCGTCAGAGCAGGCACACTCGCCGCCAGGGATCACCTCGCCAGGAGCCCATTATCTTGCTTCGTGTTTGACAGCCCAGCAAACGCACGCAAATCTGAAATCTGCCGAGAGCAGCTGTGAACCCAGAGACCCGCTGCATGAATGTGCGGGCGAGAGAATTCCCCGCGCGGCCTCAAGATGAACCAGAATTAAGGCCAGGCCAGCCTGGCCCGCCGTGGAGAAAGTGGGAGCATCGGTGGGTGCTCAGAAGAGACCGCGCGCACGTTGCTACAGTATCTCCAGCCGCACCCAGCCGAGCGCTCCGGGCCCTGCAGCGCCCCCTGCCGGCCGCCGCCAGGGGCGGTTTCCGTGTGAACGGGTCGAGCCCGCACGTTCACGCGACCCCGCGGGATGAAGCGCTGCGGCTTCTCGGTTCTGGCAATGATCTTCCTCGTCCTCTGCCCGCGCCAGGCTCAGTCTGGGTTCCCGTGGAAGAAGTGTAGGGCGCGGCGGCCCCGGGGGTGGCGGGTGGGCGGGTGTTTCCTCGAGGCCGTCCAGGGACCAGGCTGCCTTGAGGCCGCGCTGGCCGGACTCACGTCCTGGCGGTTTCTCCGCAGCCATGGAGAAGCCTGGATTCTGCCCCGAGTTTACCATGTCCTGCCCTTTCACGCGTTTACCTTCCTGCTGGCGCGATCAAAGTTGCAAGGGCACCAAGAAGTGCTGTTTCTTCAACTGTAAACAGCAGTGCATGGATCCTTGGGACTCAGG